CTCCTTCTCTCTCTCTCCTCTCCTGCTCTCTCTCTCTCTCTCTCTCTCTTTCCTTCGCTATCTGTGCTCTCTTACTCACTCTTCTGTTCCTTCCCTCTCGGCTCTCTCTTATATCTATATTGGCACCTATTGGTTCGCATATGTAACGCAATCCCGGAAATGCCTTTAGCTGCACTTGATACTCGCTCAGTTTAATAATCACAGGGAAACGGGATTAAACAAATTTTTAACGGCAGAAAGTCAGTTACCTTTACTTTTGCCTCGCAAACGCTTAAGCTATGGTTCTGCTGTCGCTTAGTGCATATGGAAGTATTAAGCACGCGTTTTTTTCCCGAATGTGTAAAATTTTTTATGAACCCTACGAGCATTTAAAAATACCATACATAGCTGCAGCGGGCAGGGGGGCGCATCTGTGAAATGCATGCCATGATGATCTTTTAGATGCAGGGAAGAGCTGATTGGGTTTACCGTACTGCCCGAAAACCGGAATATCACGGATTTCGCAATCGTTTGGCCAGTCCCGATATGATTATATATAACTGCATTGTGTTCACATTTAGCACAGAGAATGTTTATTAAATTATTAAACTATTAAATTATTATTAAACTATTAACTATAAACTATTAACTTATTAAACTATTATTATTAAATTATTTAAAATCATTTTGTGCAAAACAAATTTATATCCTAACTAACAGCAACTTGAGTGCGTACCATGACACTCTTCCTCTCCTTGGTCTAGCACTCCCCATACTACTGATCTTCTCATCTCAACAATTGTAACCGTAATTTTTACCCTAATTGTGCTCAGCCAGGCTTTAGATCAATATTTTAGGCCGTGCTACACATTTTTGGCCGTCCACTTTCAAAACTGACTGTGCAAATCACGGCTGCACGGCTCGCTGGCTAATACGTTGAGTTGTAGGGATTCACTGGTCGCTGGGGGCACCCACTATAGCACTCTATTTTAGGGGGGGTGCTGTGTCTAATTCAGTCTGGTTCTGCTGCTATATAGATAGATTTTATGAGATGCATCTGCGTCTCTTTGTTGAAATTGAGAGGAGGAGGCGTGTGGCGTGGACTATTCAGTGCACCATGGTACCATCATTTGTTTACTACCGGAAGCTATAACTGTGTATTGGGTAGTACTACTATGCTTGGATGGGTTTATGAGAAGGTTGAGGGTTTACAATTAATGTGCTGTTCGATTTTAGTGAATCATGTTGATGTTGGTTCATAGGTTTTTAGTAGTGAAGGTTTTTACATGACATGTCTGAATACAATTGAACATATAGTTTTCACCATAGTAAACCAGTTCGTTAAGCCACCTCATTGGATTGGCATTGCATGTGCTCCTTAATCAGTGATCCTACAGATATGGAGCTCCAGGAGTAGAATTCGATGGCCAGCATGCGCAGGGTGAAGTGGACAATGGAGTCACCAGACTTTACTTCCTTCCCGGCGAGGTATGTCACAGCGGACGTAGCTAACGAGTACCGCGCAGCAGACATGCGTGAAAACGATGCTGATTGTCAGAGGACGGGCCTTGTAACGAGGGTGGTGTGTTAGCTAGGAGGGCGTGTCAGAGAGGGGTGAGTAATATAGTGAGTGGGTGTGGCAAGGAGGATGGCATAATAGCTAGGAGAGGCAGGGCAAGGAGGGTGGCATAATAGCTAGGAGAGGCAGGGCAAGGCAGGGAGCATAATTAGCTAGGAGAGTCAGGCGCAAGGAGGCGTGGCAGTAATAGCTAGGAATGAGGCAGGGCAGGAGGGTGAATAATGCTTATTAAGAGGACAAGGCAAGGAGGATGGGCATAATAGCTAGAGGAGGCAGGGCAAGGCAGGATGGCGTAATAGCTAGGAGAGGCCAGGGCAAGGAGGGTGCGGCGTGCATAATAGCTAAGAGGCCAGGGCAAGCGAGGGTGGCCATAATAGCTAGGATGAGGCAGGGCCAAGGCAGGGTGGCATAATAGCTAGGAGAGGCAGGGGCAGGAGGGTGGCATAATAGCTAGAGTAGCGAAGAGGCAAGGGCAAGGAGGGTGGCCATAATAGCTAGGAAGAGGGCAGGCAAGCGAGGGAGCTGCATAATAAACAGCTAGGTAGAGGCAGGCCAAGGAGTCTGTGAGCATAATAGCTTAGGAGGCAGGCAGGGCAAGCGAGGGTTGGCATAATAGCTGAGGAGAGCCCAGGAGGCAGGGCAAGGAGAGTGGCATAATAGCTAGGAGAGGCAGGGCATCTGGAGGGTGGCATAATAGCTAGGAGAGGCAGGGCAAGGAGGGTGGCATAATAGCTAGGAGAGGCAGGGCAAGGAGGGTGGCATAATAGCTAGAAGAGGCAGGGCAAGGAGGATGGCATAATAGCTAGGAGAGGCAGGGCAAGGAGGGTGGCATAATAGCTAGGAGAGGCAGGGCAAGGAGGGTGGCATAATAGCTAGGAGAGGCAAGGCAAGGAGGGTGGCATAATAGCTAGGAGAGGCAGGGCAAGGAGCAAGGAGAGCGGCAAGAGGGAGGGGGAATATGAGTGTGGGACTGTGGAAGGCAGGGCAGTGGTGTCGCAGGGGAGGTGTTGATGGTAGGGTTGTGGGGCAGCGATGGGATATGACAGAGAGGTGGTGTGGCAGTGACCGGGTGTGGCAAGGAGGTGGGTGTAGCAATAAGGGTGTGTGGTAGGAAGGGTGGTGTCACGGTAATAGGGTGTGGTAGAATGATGGGTTCTATCAATGATAGGGAGTTGCAGGAAGGGTTGTGTAACATTAAGCTTGCCATGATTGTAGCAATCAAGGACTTTAGAAGTCGCAGTGGTGTATCGGCATAGGAACACTTCATCAAGGGACATGTCACCCTCCCCCCCACACACACATGTACTGTCTGCAGCTGAGGGTGTACCATAACCGCACTGTAACCACACTGCATTGCCACGACTACCGTGTCATGTGTCTAGCCTAGGTTATCTTGCCTAGCCTAGCGAGTAGTCAGTAGCACAGCTCGTCTGTACGTGTCCTGACTGGCAGAGTCGTTGCTTCGTTTTAGGGCCGAATCATCAGCGTGCTGGAGGACAACTCGGTCCACATGTGGGAGTGGAACCTCAAGGATGGCGAGTCCGTGCTCGAGCTTACAAAGTCACTCAGCGTCGAAGAGTGAGTGTCAGTGGGTCGTCGTTAGTCACAAGGCAACGTAGGAACGGTGGAGTTATAGGGAGGAGGGAAGGAAGGAAGGAAGGAGGGGTGATAGGGGAGAAATCCTCTTTATTCTTTCTACCCTATTTCTGTTCGTCCCGTTCTTCTCCGTGTTTCAATTATTTTCTCTCTGTTTGAATTCATATTCTGCCTTCCTCGTCTGCTTGTTTCTGATCCCTCGGTACCCCTGTTTAATTCCCTTTCTGTTTCCTTCCGCCACTTCTTTCCTCCGGCCACCTGTTGCTATCCTTATTTTTTTCCTGCTTTGTTGCCTTTATTGCAACTGTTTCTATTATATTCTTCCTCCTGCTTCACAACCTACCCTCTCCCTTGTTGCTACTCCTTTTTTCCCTTAGTTCCTATTGCCTTCTTCCCACCGTTTCTATCCCATCCTCCCTGCTTTATGAGCAGACATGATATAGTCAGTCATGAAGATAGTTGACTTCAGTAAGTAAAGCGGTATTTATGTTGTAGGCGATTGTGTTTTCACTGAGCTAAAGTTCGAACCCACGAGCCATAAATTCCCCATTGACTTTTTCACTGTTTTCACACTCGTAAAACTCAGCGTGCGTTCTCGGTGAGGAATTAATAATATTTGTCGTTGCCTAGCAACCAGAACAAGAAAAGCTCGAGAAAGGGAAACGTGTGAAACGAGGAGAAATATCCCTTCCATTTAGAATTAATTGCTAGGACGTCGTAACGTAGGAGGATCGTCATTTAGATGAGCATTTGCGACAAGCCGATTTTGTGTTGTTTTGACAATTGCAATTCGTGATCATTTTTGTCGCAAGAAAAGGGCCAACAGGTAACAGGTGTGGCATTTTATTGGGCCATATAAACTTTTATTCAGACAGCTGAAGTGAATATCGGTTCTTTCGACGAGCAGGAGACTATAATTGTGAGAGCTAATTGTGAGATATTTTGTTTGCTAAATACATGGCAAAATCTGGAAAACAGCAAGGTAAATAACTTATAAGTAAAATAGTACAGTATATAGATGGGGTGTCTTCATCAACCCTTGCTGCTACACTTCATGAAATTCACGTGGGTGCATAACCTCGCGTGGTGGTCAGGCCTTACTCGCAGATTTTCAATCCAGTCTCAACATGGGAACGGCAGTTTCCTAAATATATAAACAAACGAACGAACGGATGTTTACTGGCGAGTTATGGCTACTGCTTCAAAGTGCACTACGGGTTACACTAGACTGCTCATGTTAGCAGCCATGTCTGTCTTTACCTCAGTCCTGAGAGGCCCTCATACTCTCGTATATTTTTCCAGAGTGCAGTTAATAGTGAGTGTCCCACCCCAGCTCTTCCTATATATATGTGTGTGTGCGTGCGTGCGTGCGTGTGTATATGCGTGTGTGTGTGTGTGTGTAGGGGAGTGTGCGTCCGTGGGTGCGCGTGCGTGTGTGTCTCTTTGTGCTGGGAGTACGCTACCTAACAGAGCGTTTATCTATGCTTCAGGCAGAAGAAGGTGTCTACATGCTGTCTCACCAGCAGCGGGGAAGCTCTGCTGGTGGGCACCGAGGGAGGCAACATCTACCTGATGGACACGAAGACGTTTGAGTTGATGGACAGTGTCATCTACCAGGACGTTGTCATGCAGAACGTGCCGGACGACTACAAGGTATCGCATAAAATAAGTTCATTGGATTTCATTGAAAACTATGAATTCATATTGTGTTAAATCTAGAAAATAATATCTCATAATAAGAAATTTACTTAATATCGAAATTTTCGATCTCCCTTCGGGAAATCCTCATCAGGATGTCACGTCACCGTAGGTGGCAGCAGGGGACACATCTTGTGTGACAGTGACTTCATGATGTCACCTCCTCTCGTTGTTCTTGTAAGCTTCCTTTTGTTATTGTATCGACCAGAGTGATCTCTAGAGTATAGATCAATGGTCATCGCTTTCCTAGAGCCCTCAGTGTTCTGAACAAAATCCCCGAGTTCTTCTTGTTGTTGCCCGGAGAAGATTGGTGATGAAGTGTTCTCTAGTTGCCCTTCCCCTTCCTAGAAATGTTGTTATTTTCCTATCGTTGTTGCATGAACAATAGTGATTCAGAGGTTGTAAGCATCGTTCCACGTTGCAGAAAATCACCTGTTATTAGATGCATTGTGTTATAGAGGATATAGGAATCTGGCACGGGGTCTCGTACGGTTGACTAATTAGGTTATTACTTATCATCATAACTTATCATTGTTAATCAGACGTTTAAGATCGTACAGAGTCACACGAAAGCTGATGCTGGGTTCGCCACACTTTATTACACATCAGATGGGATGCTGGCTAATTGCTAATAGTTATTAATTGCTGCACTCATCGTATCTGACCCGTGTTGTGTTGGCACGAGCAATTACTAATCGTTAGAAGGTACTCAGTTACGGTCGGGTAGGCGAAATAGAACTGATCTGTATTATTCAAGACGACAAGAGAGAAACTGACTTGTGATGGTTAAGTTAAATATGTCAAGATGGATGGATACTCACATTCAAGTGCTCGCCAGCAGAAGTGTAATTTTCGTGTAATGTGGAGAGAGTCGTACGTGTGCGAAGAGAGAGTCGTGGCGAAGGTCTTGGCGAAGGTCTTGGCTCTAGGCCAAGGGTTCTTAACCTGTGCCATTTTTGGGTCCGTGGATGGGCTTCAGGAGGTCTGTGAACCAGGCGCATAAAAAATGTGTGCTTATGTGCATTTCGCTGGGAAGGGGTCCGTAGCTTTTACCAGATTCTTGAAGGGGTCCATGACTCAAAAACGGTTAAGAACCACTGCTCTAGGCGAAGGCGAGATCTTGAAATACATGGCTTGAGTTTTCTGCCCACATCGCATGCGCACATGCGCGGCTACATACACGCATCGTCATCGACCTCTGTATGTCTGCAGCACATAATTTACGTAATGATGATGATGATGATGATGATGATGATGATGATGATGATGCGAACCCAAGATAAAAAACACATACTGGTATATTATTATATTTTGTAGGTAACAAAAAGTCCTCTAGATGGCGCTGGGCCCTAGGCGGTCGTCTGGATCGCATATGCCACTGTGTTCACGCGCATGAGAGTATTCTTGCACTCTGGGCTTGCAGTGGGTGTGTCGGCGGGTGCCTCGATTCACACCCTACGCTGTGTGTGTACATACATGTGTAAGCAGAACTGCGTGCGCGCGAGGCGAGAACTGGTGCATGCGTGTGATTGCTAAAAATAGCTGTCAGTGATTTATGTGCGGTTGAAGGAAGACCTATGTACGAGAATGTTGATGTTTGTTGATCATGCCGGTTCCTTAGCGACGCCCTATGAATATTTCTGGAGCGCGTTCTCCCTCTCTCTCTCTCTCTCTCTCTCTATCTCTCTCTCTCTCTCTCTCTCTCTCTCTCTCTCTCTCTCTCTCTCTCTCTCTCTCTCTCTAGGGGACGGTCGCCTACACAGCAAACCACAAAGACATATAGTTCCTACATACACTTACACACCATGTCTAATACCACTTACGATACACATAGATCATCACCTTACATACATTTACATACATTACACACACATAGTCTACATACAACCTTACAATACACATAGTCGTACACGCATCTTACAGTACAAATAGTCTACATACACTTACATTACATATAGTTACAAACAATCTACATTAACAGTAGCAATCTACATACATTTTACATATACATAGTGCAGCATACACTTACATACAATAGTTTTACAATACACCGTACAACACATAGTCTCTACAGGTACCAGCCTGTACATACACATAGTCTACATACACTTATGTACACTATGATTTACATATCACTTACATACAATAGTCACATACATTACACATACACATAGATCTAGGGTAACTTTACATGACTTACATACACAAAGTCTACATATACTATTCATACACATAGTCTTTACATATACACTTTACATACATATAGTCTACATACACTTTACATTAAATAAATCTACATACACTTACATACACATAGTCTACATCACTTAATAAACATATAGTCTACATACTGTACATACACATAGTTACATATAACTCATACACATAGGTCTACATACACTTACATAATATAAGTCTACATACACTTACATACATATAATGCATACATACACTTACAAATAACATAGGGGTCTACATACACTTACCACATATATTTTTTTTTTTTTTTTTTTACTGGGCGTGGGCGATTTTATTTTTTCTTTTTTTTTTTTTTTTTTTTTTTGTTGTTTTTTTTTTTCTTTCTTTTTCTTTTTTTTTTTTGTTCTACATACCACTTACATAACATGAGTCTACATTACACTATATACATATTAGTTACATGGCGGGCATTTAATTACACATAGTCTACATACACTTATGTAGCTATCAGCTAAACATAGTTTACATACACTTAATAATACATAGTCATCATACATTAGATACACATAGTCGTACTTACCATTACATGATTACATACACAATCTAATATACTTCATTCACATAGTCTAATACCATTACACAAGTAGATATAGTCACATACACTCTTACTACATTAATCTACTGAATACACTGGTACCATACACAATATAGTCGTACAATAACATTACATAACATAGTCTACATACACTTACACACACATAGTCTAAATACACTCTACATACACATAGGTCGACATACACTTAATACATATAGGCTCTACATACATCTTACATACACATAGTCTACAATACACTTACAGTACACATAGTCTACCACACTTACATACTATAGTCTACATACACTTACATACATATAGTCTAACATACACTTACACCACAGGGATAGTCTAATACACTTACAAGTACAATAGTCTACATACCAGGCGTTACCATTTACAGTTAGGTCCCTTACACTACACCTTACCATACACATGAGTCTACAAACACTTACAGTACGACATAGGATCTTACAGTACATTACAGTACAACATAGATTCTACAACACTACATACACATAGGTCTACATACAGCATGTACATAACATAGTCTACATACACTTACATATCATATATTACGATACACTTACATACACGATAGTTCTAACATACACTTACATACACATGATCTACACTACACTGTACATACATCATAGTCTACATACCACACTACATACACATAGTCTACATACACTTAACATAATACATATAGTCTACATAATTTAACAGACCGATTGTTACATACACTTTACATACAATAGTTACTATACTTACATACACATAGTCTACATACACTTACATACACATAGTCTACAAACACTTATATACACGCGCACACATATAAGCCTAACCAGGGGTTAATAATGACAAATTAATGTCATTTGTGAATGAAATTGAATGATATGGTGATTGGTGATTGAAATGATAATGATATTTGTCATTATTAATAACCTCTGATATTAACATGGACATACACTTACATATATGATACACACGCAAACACATATTTCATATACACTTAGTATGTGTTCACATAGAGCACATACACAGTAAAACGAGCGTACTGGTGGGTAATTGCTCGTGCCAACACAACACGGGCCTTACTATATGAATGAAGTGAGCAATAATTAATAATATTAGCAATTAGCCAGCATCCCATCTGATGTGTAATTTAAAGGGCTGCGAGAACCCAGCAGCAGGCTTTCGTTGTGCACTGTACGATTCTTAAACGTCTGATTAAACAATGCATAAGTTATGATGATAAGTAAATGAACCTAATTAGTAACCGTACGAGCCCGCTGTGCCAGAATTCCTTATTGTCCTCTATAACAATGCATTAAATAACAGTTGATTTTCCTGACAACGTGGAACGATGCTATACAACCTCTGAAATCGCTATTGTTCATGCACCAACGAGAGGAAATTCAACAAACATTTCTAGGAGGGGAAGAAGGCAACTAGAGAGACACTTCATCACACGAATCTTCTGGCCGGCCAACAACAAGAGAACTCAGGGATTTTGTCAGAACACTGAGGGCAATTAGGGAAAGCGAATGAACCATTGACTCTATGACTCTAGAGATCACTCTGGTCGGAACAAGTACAAAAGGAAAGCTTACAAGGAACAACGAGAGGAGGATAGACAACCATTGAAGTTCATTGTGCAGTCACAAGATGTGCTCCCCTGCTGCACCTACACGCCGGTGACGCTGCATCTGATGATGGATATTCCCGAAGGGAGATCGAAAATTTTCGATAGTTAAGTTAATTTCGTGCATTTAACACAAATATGAAATTCTAGTTTTCAATGAAATCCAATGAATTACTTTTCATGCGTTACTTGTAGTCGTCCGAGCACGTTCTGCATCAACGTCCTGGGTAGAGTGACACTGTCCATACAACGTCAAGCGTCTTCGTGTCATCAGTGTAGATTGT